AACCACTGTTAATTTTTTCAAATTCGAAAGTATAAGTGGTTCCGAAGTTTTAGGCCACCAAAGTGACAAACTTTCACAAAAATAATACGTATTGACTTATAGAATCTAGATAACCTCTTTGCAGACAACAGAAGTCACAGTCCATGTCTATTGACAAGGAATTTAACTCATATTGTACAATCTTCAGTTATATTATTCTTGGTTACTTCCCTTATACATGTACCCAATTAAGTCAATTGGCTAAATTATTTTCTCTCTCCCTCTGTCTGTCTTTCTGAGTCTGTCTCTGTCTCTGTCTCTGTTTGTCTGTCTGTCTGTCTGTCTGTCTGTCTGTCTGTCTGTCTGTCTGTCTGTCTCTCTCTCTCTCTCTCTCTCTCTCTCTCTCTCTCTCTCTCTCTCTCTCTTGTTCTCTAAGTTTGTTGTGATGACGATAAAAATGGGTCTTAGGAAAATTGCACAATTCACTTTATCTGAGTTACACACTAAAAACGTAAGCCGATATATTATTATACAGCACTGGTTATACATCTCCATCGAAGACAATGCTGAGACACTCAGACGTCTGTGCACACACATACACACACACACACACACACACACACACACACACACACACACACACACATAATATATATTACTATATACTGAACACCATTAAAAACGCAACACTTCGTTCACGTAGGCTAGTCTGAACACGTTTGTATCAAATGAATATAGCTTAAAATAAGTGTTGCTTTTTAAGTTTATTCAATTTCCAACAAATATGAACCATTTTGATCTCACGCTTAAATGATTTCTATACAACGTCCTCCTTCTCTCGTACCCACTTAAGACAAAATTTGCAGATAAACACAAATCGAAGCTCAATAACGATCTCTTACTCTTAGTAAATTGTATAGCCATCTTTAACTTTTAAACAGACCAAAACACTTCTTCACGTGGATTTTAGATCTATAACATTTTCAATGGGGCTTTTTTTTTGCGAAACTCTGTCCCACTTTCGCGGCAGCGCGATTTTCCAATAGCTACAGATTCGCAAATCGGCACACACTTTGCGGCTCAGTTCATCCCATACATGAGCTGTTGGAGACATCAGTGATCTTTCATAAACTGTGGTGTTGGTTAAAAGGGCAGTGTAAGGGCAGGAGTGTCGAGTTGGATGACCGAGAGATTCTAATTCTTTCTTTGTGCTGTTTGTCACCGTGAAGACTTCGCTGTCGTTGCTGCTTCGTTAATTGCAGTCCTAAATAAGGCGTTCTTCATCTAAGTCCTGTACTTACTGCTCCGCGCCTCATAGCCTACTGAAAAAAGAAACATTTTCACGTACTCCATGCATGCCTTGGGCTGCTACTTTCGAGAAACGAAACGATTTCGCAGATGGGACAGCAAAATCTGCCTGTCTTGAACATGGCTGATCGCTCGAGACTGTCCTATTCTTGGCCCATCCCGAACATTTCATGTGTACTAAAATCTTTGTATAAGTCGAGAACAATACAAGCACTGCATTAGTCGTATTGCTGCTTCTCAGGCAGATTTTCCGCCACGAACAAGGCGGAACCGAAAGTTGCTATCAGCTTCGCTAGGTTGAGGAGTCTTGCAATGAAAGAAAAAAAAAGAATTGATCGAAAAAAAGCTAGGACTTTTGTTTGCAATGAGCTACGGGTCATCTTCCAGGTAAATAATTTTGTATTCTTTTATGATATAGCAACTAATGAATACATTTTACTAAAGTATAGTTTGTTGTATTGTGATGAAGAGTACGGTACTCATGGAAATAGCAAAAATCGTACATGGGTGTGTGGACTAACAACTAATCAATGTCCCGATTCGGCTAAAAATTATGGAATTTGAGTTGTAGGTATTTTTAGCTTTGTCAGCCTCTCCTACAACTGTTTCATCGCTTAAGAACACCCAAAAGCCTTATTTCTTCTCATACTGGGCATGTTTGTCACCACTATTTCCTCATAAAGTCAATATTTTATTTTTCTTTATCGGCCATCATCTGAAAACGCGATTTTTCTCTCTATTTTTTAAAAATAACTACACCATTTTTCATCCTATCTTCATGAACTTTTCATAGAATGAAGAGAAGATGTAATACTAAAACTTCGTGTGTTGAATGTTTTATATGTGGAATAGATTTTTGTTGGTGGTGTCTGGAGTGTGGATTTTCACTGACTTTTAACAAACTTGACTTCTACTTCAAGTAAAAATTCATTAAAAATTGTTTAATTCGTTTAGGAAAAAATCCACAGACAAATTTTTAGATCTAATGTTTGCTAATAATACTAATATGCGTGCAAAATATCAATCAATATCCATGAACGATAAGTGCGGAGTTCATTACATAAGACATGTCAACAAAACGTGAATCACTTAGACAACAACCTCACACATTACCTTCTTCCATGTTTAGTTGTTTTTTTTTAAGTTTTACGACGGCACTGCCAACATTATACGATTACATAAGTGCCCAAAATGTGTGGTATTACAAGACAGTAACGAACGCAATAAAGAACAGTGGCCTACGGGCCGTAGCTGTTTTGATAGGAAAGAAGGAGCAAGCCACAATAGAGCACCTGCCTAACACCTACACTTCTGTTTGAGCGAAATGACGCTAGGAAGCAGAAACAGCGCAAATATAACAGAAGTTCAACTCATCATTTGATAAGTAGCATTTTAAAGACAACAGCTCCGATTTCAGAGACAGCTGATCTTTAATCGGATCAAACTATACTGAACGCCAAAAGAAACGCAAGTCATTAGGTTGGTCGATTTTCAACCTAAAATATATTGAAAAATATTTTTCTGATAAAATGTAGTGCAAGCCCCTTGGGTGTTTAGGTCCCCTGAGTGTAGTCTGTGCTGTGAGTGCTGATTGAAAAGTACTCACCTTAAGCTCACGCAAGGCGGTCAATGAGAAGTTTGTGCTTTTAGCAATGCGTGATTGAAAACAGAGGTGGGTGATTTTTTGGGGGGTGAGTAGTGTTCATGGCATATCAGGGTACAAAAAGACACACCGCTACGCCTTGGCCAATGAAGCAGTTGACCGCAAAGAAGATGCCACGACTGAGCGTTGCAGGTCGAGAGAGAGCCACTGGGCGTTTGCAGGCTGGGGACAGCCGTACTGACGTCGTTATCACATTTCATATGTCATTTTCAACAGTTTGTAGGCTGTGGACACTGGACACGTTTTCAAACAACTGGCAGCACCCAAGAATTGGCCAGAAGCGGAAGACCACGGGTCACATCCGCACGCCAAGATCAACTGATTACGCGCCGTCATCACCGAGACAGTTTCCTGCCTGCAGCCGAAACAGCAAGGGGGACAATAAGGAAGCCACGGACGACCGATATCCGGCCAGACCATGCGGCGACGACTTCAGACCCGAGGAATCCGGTGCCGTCGTCCTGCGGTCGGCCCAGTCCTCACTACCCACCACAGACAACAGAGGTTAGCCTGGGCCCAGCATCGGCTTCATTAGACATGGAAGCAATGGAGAAACATTCTCTTCTCTGACGAAAGTCGATTCTGCATCAGAAACGTGGATAGCAGAGTCAGAATCTGGAGGAGGAACGGTGAACGCTACGCAGACATCAACATGATGGAAGCCGACGCCTTGGGTGGCCCTAGTGTCATGATCAGGGCTGCCATTGGACTAAATCCCCTGGTCGGCCCTGTCGTCTTCCGAAACCTCGGACACGGGCGTGGCAATGGATTCAACAGCCAACGTACCATCGGTATGGTGCTTAGGAAGGCGGTCCTCTCCTACGCCCAGCAACACCACCACTTGGTGTTCCAGCACGACAACGCGCGCCCGAACACTGCACAGGGAACTGTGGCATTCGTGCAGCAGAACAACATTACAGTTCTCCCATGGCCAGGACTCAGCCCTGACCGTAACCAAATCGAACACTTATGGGACCATCTCCAGTGACAACTAAACAACATTCATCCAAGGCCAGCCACTGCGGCACAACTGGAGCAGAACATTCAACAGGCGTGGGGCAACATCCAGCATCTATGCCCTGACGGTGTCGAGCTGTTGTTGATGCCCAAGGAGGTCATACAAGATATTGAACTGTGCCAAATGGACTATTCGTGTTGTGCATACATGTGTTTAAGAATACTGTGATATTAATGAGTCGATAAAAAAATACCAATCGAAGATGTTCGTCCATGCTCAATGAAAATCATATTTTCGAAAGTAAAACATCTTAAAAAATCACACAACTATTAAACAATTTCAATAAAAATAACATTTTCTACACCAGAAATCTATTTGCGTTTCTTTTGTTGCTTGCTTGCGTTTCTTTTGGTGTTCAGTATATTTGAGCAGAGGGTCGTGAAAACTCACATAGCAGCCCTAGCTCAAAAGTGGTGCTTTATGGTCTCGAATCACCGCTGGTTAGCTTGATACCAGTTAAGCCATCCGAACGCCCAGAGAGAGAGAGAGAGAGAGAGAGAGAGAGAGAGAGAGAGAGAGAGAGAGAGAATGAGAGAGGGAGAGAGAGGAGAGAGGGGGAGAGGGGGATGCGGAGAGAAACAGAGAGAAAGAGGGAGAGAGAGAGACAGCGAGAGAGAGAGAGAGAGAGAGAGAGAGAGTGTGTGTGTGTGTGTGTGTGTGTGTGTGTGTGTGTGTGTGTGTGTGTGTGTGTGTGTTTGTGAGGGAGAGTAGAGAACCCTCATTCTAACCAGAAATATTTCGTTTTGACTCGGTTTTTTCCCTTGGCAGGTAACGCACTTTATTCATTTTCTTTTTTTATTGGCTCTAGAGCTGTGATTCTTTTTATATGAAGAAAATAAACAAGATTTTAAATTTTTTACAACTGTTTTATTGAGACCAAAAAATCTTTTTGAATAAATCAGTTTTGACACGGAATTCGTGAAAAGATTATTTTTCGAAAAATAACAAAAGATGTACGTGTTGGTTTGATTCGTCGCTGTGAGAGAGTTGAGAATTTTATTTTATGACCCCGTAAAGGGTCACTACGCGTGCGCAAAGGAAAGAGTACTCTGTTGTATGCTTTTGGTTGTGTGTGCCTAGAGTATCAGAGACTTGAGTTGTACTGTGACAGTACAAAACAAAAGTTGTGCTAAGCCACTTTTGTTGCCGTGCGATTTGAGGGAAACGGTAACAATTGTGTATTACATATCTGTCATACATTTTTTCTAGATCTACTTCAGTGTTTACAATTTGAGTAGGTGCCTGGGATTTAAGGAAGGTAAGAATTAGAATCTTCGCGACAAGAAACGTTGGCAGCGGTAGAGCAGTACAGTCTAGATTCTACTGATGATGCCTCCTGATTGATTCTCGTCTCGTAGTTTGGAGCGTGTTGTTTGTGTGATGTTTTTGTTTTTTTATGTCGGGCGTGGGAATGAGTGATTTTTTAGTGTGTTACGATCTTTGGTGATCTGTCTAGATGTCTATGTAGGCCTAGATGTCTAGATCTAGATCTTGATCTAATCTAGGTTACTTAGCACAGTGTGAGTGTCGTTTGAACTTGAACATGCTGCTGTTTGTTACAGCAGTTTTGACGGTATAACTATGACACTATGAAATATAGATCTAGATCTAGATCTAGACTAGATCTCTACTAGATTCTAGGCGCTTTTTCAGTAGTTCCCGTCCGGCAAATGTACAGTTCAAGAGATTCATCCTAATTACACAACAGGGGAGCCAGACTGTCAAGATACGCTGCCACTTTGAAGTAGAACAGGGAGTTGGGGACGGCAAATTTACGAGCTAGCTTTTCACATTTGGTAAAAAGAGATCAAAGAACAAGTCTTTCTTAATGCAACACATTATTGTCTCTTTGAGTGTCTATAAATCAGCAAAGTGATTTTTGAATGGTGATAAATTATACGAGGCCTAAATTATAACGAGCCAAATAATAATAATATTGATTAAGTGGACACTAAGAACTAGATCTAGATTCTAGATCTAAGTGACTATTTCTCACATAAAGTTGAACTCTTATTTCTCCAAACGGTTCACGATCTCGAGATTTTTTTGGTTATTTGCAAGATTTAGGCATGGTTCTTTCATTTTGCCATTCTGCGAGAAATGGGAAGAAGCATTTTTTGCATCAAATTCAATTTCAAGAGCTAGAGATTTTTTAATGTCTGCATGAATATTCAGATACTTCAGTTGTGGTTGGGGCAACGTTCCCGGACTATACACTATACACTTCATTTGAAAATACCTTCAAAAAGTACTGCGAGAAAACAAGACTTCTTGACCTACCTTAGCAGTAACCTATTTTGCATTTAGTCACCTAGATCTACTAGCAAAAACTAAAATCTTTCTTGTAAAAAAAAAAAATCCCCCCACCCCCCCCCACACACACACACACCCCAACCCGTTCACCCCTTTCACACACACAGACACTCACACACACAAACGCAAACGGGCTGCTCCATTCGTTTTAATTATCAACAAATCTCGAGAATAGAAACCGTTCGGAGAAATAGAGTTCAACTTTATTTTCCCGAACTTTCGGAGAAATAGAGCCGGCCAGAAATTATTACCAGCTATGGTTCTTTTAGCCATTGCAGGGCTCCCCTTTGATGTGCGTGCGTATATTACCCCTTAAAACTGCAGATTACCCCCTTAAAGTTTTGGTGGTGTGTGAGCGTTACTCTTTAAAATTTCGTTTCAGGGGTTTGCAAACACTTTAAAACGTAGGTGGTGTGCGTCTGGCAATCATCATTTTCCCCCTTCTCTATCCCGAAGCCGAGTCAATGATTTAACAACACACCCAAACACATGACACCGCAGTCACCTTTTGTCTGTGACTCTGCGTCAGAAGTCAGAAACAGTCGACCTAGAATGTACTTACTACTTATCAGCTGCGTGAAGTTTCCGGCGACACCGGCCTGCTTGAGCAGAGAAGCTCCGCCCACATTCTGGTCGCTCGCATTATAGTTGCCGGTGTCGTGCCTTGAGTTAACCCTTGCCGTGAGATTACCCCCATCCTTCTTTAACACACTAGATCTAGTAGACATGAATAGTTCGCCATCTAAAGACTGGGACGGCTTTGAAGAAAATGAATTAGTTTATTTTCCAAACCTGCCTCTCATTCTGATATATCCAGATTTTTTGCCCCAAATTTCAAACTTCATGATTTTCCCGATTTTGATCACGTGTATCCCGATTTTTACATTTTTTTTGTTTCGTCTGTTGTGCTGGATTTTTCTAAAATCTTACTCTGCCTTCTTTTCTGTCGAGGGAAGCACTCGTTAAACTTTTAGTCAGCAGAGACTCGGTGCACTATTTTCCGAAATTTTAATGTCGATGCCGAGTTTAGTAGTTGTGTTGGATCTTTGCACACACGTGTTATTTGAAGTATATGTATACTGGAAGTAGTATTGGTTTGGCATTCCGACTTGGGAAATTCTTAAGACCCTGATCTAGGCCCTAGATCATTTTCGCTTTTATTTTTGTTTCAACTCAGAATTCTCCGATGATGGCCTGATAACTGTTTAGTTTATATTGCGACGCACAAATGAGTTTTGTGTTGATTTTGCTGAAAAACATTGATTAAAGGTATAAAAGATGTAAATTTTCAGTTTCCACAAACTCTCTAGCTAAGGAAATAATGCGACTTTGGCGGCTATTTTCCGGCAAATTTTACCTCTGAAACCAGGCGACCCCCCACCTCCTTCATTGCTATCTTGACTTGTGCATAATCAATAAATGGATATTTTTTCCATCAAAAGCAAGGTAAATCTAAAAGGCTTTAAGATGATACATACTGTTAATGATAATGCCATTTGCCCCAAAATTGACCAAGCGTCTGACTCAACCGTGTCGTGAAACTTTTTTTCCCCCTCAGTTCTCTGCTGTAGCATACTCGAAGGCTCAAATTATACATTATATTTTGTTTCAGCTCTTGATGTTTGTTGCTCTTGTGGATAGGAAAGGCTGAGAAGTGCAGAGGATACAGCAAAGTTTTCGCAAAGATTACATTGTGTGTGTGTTTCATTAGATGTGTACATATTCAGTGTAATTTGTGGAGGCAAGCGTGGAGTAATATGTCACTGCCAAGATTTTCTGGTTCCTTCTGTGGATTAAACTTTCGTGTGTGGTTGGTAGTATGCTTAACGTTGCTGTGTGTACTCAGCGTCTACCGCTACATCAGTGACCTCAATGGACGTTTGGATGTACTCATCTCTTCAAGAGTCAAACTGGGTAAGTTCACTCATTGTTGGACATTTTTGTTTGTTCTTACTGATAGGATAATAGAACTTAATACTGACATTTACTGTTCTAAACTCGTTGTCAACAGCGTGCTTTGTGCTGCAAGGAAACTTAAGGGGTGATGTGCCAGCTTTCTATTCATGTCAGGCTAGAGAGGTAAAAAAAGCTGAGGGTGTACAATATTCTGGACACTGGTTCAAAATTATCCTTGGACAACACATATGTAGAAAATAAGATAGTGAATCCCTGTTTAGTTTGTACATAATTATAATACCCTACAAGTGCCTTTTTTTTCTCGAAAAAGTAAATCTTTAGGTGATGGGGTTATAGATTATGATTTCTTTAGTGTGTCTTTTCTTTTCAATCTCTTTGAAACTTTGCATGCTTCTTGTTCTCTCAAAAATGTTTATTGATCTTAGCTTTTTAGGAATTTGTCTGTTGAACAGCAGAACAATTGTGCTTGTGAGAGGTTGTAAACGAAAAAAAACAAATCTTTTGAAATGGAACTGGTTTTTCTCAGATAGTTGTATTTTCTTCCACTCTTGTACCTGCCAAAATTTTACTTACTTATTATTTTAAAGCACCCCAAAGAAAATCTCCCTTATGTCAACTGGTATCATGTGTGTACATTGTCGTGTGTATACTACTACTCAGCAATTTTCAATGATATTGTACGACCCCCAATCTGACCCAGTGTTGGAACCAAATGGGATTGAATGGTCAATGAGTCCATCAGATTATCTTACTCCACCGCTTCTATTATCGATCAGAAAATGTGTTAAAATTTTTTAATTATTCCTGTGGTGTCTCCCCTCAAAGAATTAAAGAAGGGTCTAACTTGCAATTCAATAACCAAAGTACCTTGTCAAATTGACTAGGAGAACTTTTAAAACCTCTTCATGGTAGGAGACATATGATGTGGTTGACTTTTGTAATATTAGGTTTTGGAATAGATTTGTTTCGGGTTGGTTTTTTTAATGCTTGGAGTTTGAGCACTTGTAATGTATCTCCTTCTATCCCCCCTCAATGTCATGTGCCTATCTTACCCCTCCAAGTTGTTTTCTAGGCATCATATTTCTTGAAATTGCTCTTTGAAAACTTCTGGTGACGTCTTTATGATGTTTGGCTCTCATAGTCCAGGAAAAGTTCCTTTGTGAATTACGGCCAAACAAACCAGTTGCTTCATAACTTAACAGGAAAATAATGCAGTTTTGTGAGAGCCGGCATCAACCTAAATGGGTCCTGATATAATTTAACTTCAAATGTTAAGTCTTGCAGAGAACTTATGGAGTTCTTTTATGTTGGAATTTAAAAAAATTGGAGATACCTCGCAGTACCCATTTCTACCTCAACAAATATTGTAAAATATATGTTTGCAGATCCCACCTGTTAAGTTTGGGATGGTTCGGATGTGCCATTAGAGGATAATAATAATGTGTGTCATGACGCTAATGTTTGTTTTTGTTTTGGTATGTTTTACGGCGCTCACAACTGCATAAGGTCATGAGCATGCGGGACACATTAATTTTCAGTTTGGTAGGAATTAATAATGAATTTTGCTCCGGTGGCGGCCGAAGCCTACTCTTGTCGATTTTGGACCATCGAGGGATCTTTAACGTGCGCAACTTGCACACGGGACCTGTGAGATTTTTCGCTCTAATCTGAGAAGTAGCAGGAAGAAGGAGCCATGGAGTAGATCTAGCAGTAGAAAGGCTGCAGAAAGAGACAGGGGCCCAGATGGGGGAGGGGGTAGAGGCAGAAAGTTGAGACGACAGCAGACGACAGAACATGGTAATTGGTTAGAGAGCAGGAAAGGAGGTGAGGGGAGAACATTTTTAGAGAAGAAAATCATAAATGTTCTGTCGCTGTCAGGTTTTGAGCTCGGGACATTGAATGAGAGGCGAGCACCGTTACCCCTAGACTACGAGAGTCCCCAACGTCAGTGAGTGTTCTTCTAGCTCGTTTAAAAAAAAACAACAAGGATACATTTTTCCTCCAATTGCCCCAGAGTCTGACTGCTTCTTCTATAATCACTTACATTGTAGAACATAATTTTGGAAGTTCGCCTTCTTGCGACTGACACCCCTCTCTCTTAGACCGGCAGAGAACATGTGCTAACAAGATTTGACTAAAAGTCTTCCGCTGAAGTTTTTTTCTCCCCTTCGCCGGGTTACACCCGCCCATGTGTGATCAGAGAACGTACGAGAGAGAGAGAGAGAGAGAGAGAGAGAGAGAGAGAGAGAGAGAGAGAGAGAGAGAGAGAGAGATCCTGTGTCTGTTGCGTTGGTGGGGAAAAAAAGGGGGGGAGCGAAGGAGAGAAGGAGAGAAGAAAGGGGGGTGGGGATATTGTTGACGTTTTACTGCTGAGTGGAGACAGTGAGCCGGGGAATAAACATGAGCTGGCGTCCCACACACAGTGATGTGGTCCGTCCTGGGGGTCTGGACGATGAGGATGAGGGCATATGGTGGTGGTTGTGTGTGTGTGTGTGAGAGAGAGAGAGAGA